AACCCCCCGGCCTATTGGCCCCCCACCAATTATGGGGCTTTCGGGGGGATGTGAAAAGAAAGTGTGACTGTCGCTTTTGTGTTCCCTTTTTGAACTCGATCTCTCTCTCTCTCTCTGTCTNNTCTCTCTCTCTCTCTCTCTCCCATGCATTCGAAACGTCAAGCCTGTCTGATCCTTTTTTTTGAATCCGGGCCGTGAAGTTTTTTCCGGAAAGGTGCAGCAAAGCCTCGAACCCAGCCTGTCTGACCCTAACCCCCCAAACCTAAACTGTAGACCCCAAAACCCAAAACTTCAATCTCCAAACCCTATAATTCCACGGAACCCTTTTGCATCAAACACGAACCCCAAGAACTAGCCTCATTTCGGTAGTTCTCTAAGTTAGGGCCTTTTTGAGGGTCCTCTTTATAGGGCTGCCGCCCTTTTTGGGGGACCTAAAAAGGGGATCCGAATTTAGAGGACTGCCCATTTGACGACGAAGTCTCATCGAGAAGGCTTCGGCCGCTGTCGAACCCGGCGCTCTCCCCTCCAAGATCGAGGCTCCTGCAGTTTTTGGGCTCTGGGTTCAGGGTCTCGGGTTCCGAGCCTTGTTTTAGGGCTTTTTCCCTCATGTTTAAGGAAGTCTATTGGGTTTATTAGGGCTTTTGGGTATCACGATTTTAGGTCTAGAGCTTTCACGCAGTTTCGGGCCGCAGCGCTTTAGGTAGCTTTGAAGGCTTTCGCGCTCCGATCTCGGGGTTCAGGCCTAGGGATCGCAGAGAAGCCAAGTCCGTGAAAATACAATGAACGGAGGATCTTGTTCAGCCATATGCGAAAGATGCAGCAGGACGGGTCCAACCAGAAGGTGTGTGAGAGAGAGGCGCCGCATGCACACGGTGCAGAGAAGCAAACACACAGGCATAGCCAAACACACACACGCACACACAGAGAGAGAGAGAGAGACAGAGAAAGCAAAACCTACAATAGCTTGTAAACGAACACAAACGGCGGAGACGAAACAAGACAAGGGAAAGGCACCAACTGAAGATGAGATCAGAGATGAGCCGCTGAGCTGAGTCGCGGGGCAGACACTAGCTGTGTCCTGATGCATCCGTTGCTGGCATCCCCACACTTGAGATCAAGATAATGTAAGCCTCAAGCCCCTCAGATCAAACCCCTATAGTATTAGTAACCCTTGCTGTAGCCGTGTAGCCCTTAGGGAACACTCATAAAACATCCCTTGCTGTAGCTGTGTAACCCTTAGGGAACACTCATAAGAAGTAAAGGTCACATGTTCTGACAGCTCCTGCCGAGGATGTCGACCTTGCCCTCATACTGGACGCCCAGCTGCACGCGAGGCTTCTCGCCGAACTCCTCTCCCTTATAGGCCTTGCCGGTGAGGCGCAGGTAGCTTCCATCCCCAAAGTCGACACGGGGAGACGCCATCGCGATAGCCTGTCGAAACTTGGAGTTCGAGGATCTCATCTCGTACTTTGCGTCGATGCCGCGGAGCTTGCTAGCAGTCACCTTCACTGAGCTCGTGACATCCCCAGCGGAGTCGTAGGAGGCAAGACCCATAACATCCACCTCCGGAACCTTGGCCGAAGTCAGTGCCATTGCGGCGGCCACAGCCGGCCGAGATGCACCGAACTTGTAACGGCTTTGGAGGGCCAGGGTGGAGCCCTTTGCAGCGAACTTGGGGGCCAGGGCTCCGAGGTCTAAGGTGACACCAGTTCCCAAAGGTTGCACATCCACGCTGCCACGCGAGGCTGACGCCTTGATGCTGCTATCAAGCTTGACACCGTCGGCTACCTTGCGCTCGCCGGTCCACTCGCCATAGCCCGCAACATCGTACTGCCCCTCTGTGTTGATGGTGCCGACGAGGCCAAAAGCTGTTCCAAGCTTTGCCGGCGCTTTGACCAGACCCTGCAAGCCATCCTTCGACAGCCGCAGAGTGTACTGGGGATCCGTTGTGAGGATCTTTCCACCCTGCTTCGAGCTCCAGCCCTCCAAGCGACCTTTCATAACTGCCTCCCAATCCACGGAGGTGGTGTTCTCTTGCTGAAAGTCTGGGAACACTGCCGCCCTGTATTCCGTATTGCCGGACGCATACTTCGCACCGAAGCTCGGCTTGATCCAGGTGGGCAGGAAACTCTCATCACCTGAGCGCCTCTTCATGTCCACAGCCACAAGACCTGTGACGCCTCCACCGAGTGGCTTCTCCGCAGCAAGCGTGGCATCATAAACCATGTCCTCGCTGTTCCCGGAAAAGGCGATGCGCTGAGGGGCACTGCTACTCCTTTCCACCTGAACAGTCCAGTCGTAGTCGCTGCCCTCCTCGTCGCCAGTGGCTGCCAGGGCGACGCGCGATCCATAAGGAGCTTTGTAGCTGCTCTTCGCCGAGTCGTAGTTCACCCCATAGACGACGCTGCCCCCATCCTCGCGCGCGGCGAAGAGTGCCGTGGAGCCGTTGGCCTCGGTAGCCCTCACCTGCCACTGGGGCGCTCCCTGGGAGATCGTGTCCACGGCGAACTTGGAGCCCGCGATGCGGATCGCATGCGGCTGCTTCCATACCTTCACAGCCTTCTCAAGCTGATCTTTCGCCTCATCGCTGGCAAAGCCAAGGCTTGATGAGTAGAAACAGAAGCAAGCTGCGAGCACGGCCAGAGCTACGCATCGTCGAGGAGATCTTCGTGCCATGGCTTCTCCAAGGGCTGCACAACGACAGTAACGAGTGGAAACAGAACGGGCAGCTAGAGCCAAAAGAGCCACTGTCTGAAAGCCGTCTGTGAAATGCATCATTCAGTCACTTCTTCCGAAGAACATAACTCGACTACTTTCAAGCTTCCCTCTTTTGCACTGTCCCATGCAAGACATCCGAGTGCCATGACATCGTAAACTTTGTAACACATATCCGAGCCGGATCAGCCACGCAAGTCAAACGAAATAACTTGAAAACTATCAACTCACAAGGCGATACAGACCCACCCCCTTCCCAGCCCCTAACCCCACTTTGCCTGCCCTCGGGCGTCATGACTGACAGGTCCTCTGAGGTGAAGGAGTCGGGGCAACAGGAAGCATTGGATAGAACAGGCAGGGAAATGGCTCTATACACTCCATGCATATTTCCAGTGCATTACACCACAAAACCTTGTTCCAATTTTTGGGGCTTCCCTTTGGGGAGCTTGATTGTCAAGGCCGCAGGCCCACGGAGCTTTAACACCTGTCTAGCCTTTGGACTATGGAGTTCCTGCGACACATGCTTGAACTCATGGCTTCAACGGCATGCAAGATTCTCACCTCTTCCGGCCAATTTACGAGATGGGATGCTACTGTTGAGGGTCTGCCAGTTATGGCTCAAGGCTTGCGCCAATAGGCTGAGAGAATTCAGGAGAAAGTCTGCCTGCAGAGCGCGGTGTTGATCTCTCCTGTCTGACGGGCACCGGATGTATACAACCTTTCCAACCATCTTTCCTAACTCTCAGGTCCGGGGCCCTCCCATTTTAAAAACATGATGGAGTCTATCCTCGGAGTACTCCACGCCCGAAACAAAGAAAGCAGCCCGAAGCCTTGAGATACTTATCAAGGTTCGGAATGAGAAGTCCTCAAAACCAAGTGTAAGGTCTGAAAGCCTGAGGCCCTTCGGCAGCGGCCTTGAGGGTTAAACCCTATAAGCCCCTGAATCCCAAAGCTACTCCTTTCCCACTCGAACGCCTCCGCTGACACTGCCGGAGCCCCTGGGGGAGGTGGCGGCGACGCTCGCGCCGGCGCGGCCACTGAAACAGCCTGGGCCTCAGGACGTCCGAGTCGAGGCTTTCGCGATGCTTAAGCATGCTCTTATGAAAGCTTTCTAAACTTCTGCCTTGAGTCATGTCGACCTCTAAGTCATCACACGCCCCCCCTCCCCTTGGGTCAGAATCTTCAGATGATAAGATCCCCAAGAGTTGATCCCTCTCCTGTCTTAAACCCTAAACCAGAGCCTCCAATCCCGATTAGGACCATGACCGGGACTTGCCCTAAATGACACCGGAGCCAGGATCCTATAGCCAGACCCTACTACAGCCCTAAACCCTAAGACCCCCAAAAAGACCCTCGAAACTCTCCGCTTGAAAAACTCCACCTCGCGCGACCTCTTTTTTGGATCGGATGTTGGAGCTGACCAGCCTGCAACCCTTGACCAGGAAGCAAGCCAGAAATCCCTAAATGCAGACCCTGTACCTTATTTTGAGGTCCTTATATATAGGGATCCTACTATTTTAGGGTACTATATTAGGTCCCCTATTTTCGGAAGGCCTAAAACCAAAAATCTGAACCCAATGCTCTAAACCCTGCAGACCCAAACTCCTTAATGAGACACTAATGCCTTATAAACCCTAAACCCCAAACATTTAGTAATAGTATTACTATGATTCTTCTTATTATTATTATTGTTACTACTATTATTACTATTCTTATTATTCTTCTTACTATTATTAGTATTGTCATTCTCATAATAACTATTGCAACTAACTAACTATTACTCTTATGGGAGCACACAAGCCAGGGGCGACCTGGAGGGCTGCGAGACGGTTGGCGGCCACGCGCCATCCCACGGCCTGACAGGGCTCAGGTCTCTTGGGTTCTCTGACGGCGTTTATGGCCATAACAAAAAGGGGGGCCTTAATACTTAGACTAGGGTTTGGGGGTCTAGTATAAATTATACTATAAGTATATAATAAGGGGCCCCTAAAAGCCTATATTCTCATGATTATAAGACCCCTAGGTTAGGGTTGAGAGATTTGAAGCTGCCGGGCCTTGGGGTTTGGGCGTTCAGCTCGAGCTACTGGTCCTACATAGAATCGAAGGTACTTCAAAAACCCACCCAACAAAAAGCCTCCCCAACAAAAAACACAGAGTGAAGATCAGGGCTTCAAGTTCCACTTCTTTGCGAATTTGCTTTGCATCTCGGACCAGATTTTTGAGGCCGTCAGGGTTCACCAATGCTAGGAACTTTGTGGACAGGCCTTGCAGTTTTGGGGCCAAGAGAGGCCTTGCGGTTTAGTTTAGGGCTTATAGGGTTTGGGGCTAAAAGAGGCTTGAGTGCCTGTCGCAAAGGAAGTCGGGAATCCGAGGCCACGAGTTGAAGCGGAAGCCTATGCTCGAGCTTCCAAGCAAGCCCCCAAGGCGCAGTTTGCTGCACATGTACCTATCAGCCATTGGCTGAGGGCTTGAGATGAAAGAGGAACTGCCTTCTAAAGCAAACACTGTGGCACTGAACCGTATGGCCTTCTTGGGTAGTAAAATACACACGTTTAAGGGGCATAGACGTCTCGCCGGCCGGCCTGTTCGTATGCGGCTACGGGAAAGGTGAGGCTCGCCGACACTCTCTCAACGATCATGCGCAACCTGATCTGCTCGGGGCTTATGGGGTCGAGCCTCAAGGCTCCTCTGGGACTTAAGGCATCTCAACATGATACACCCCTGCACACGGACCAATGCTCGAAATTCGGAAGCTTCTCACCTGAAGGAATCTCTTCTCTTCCGACTCTTGTCGCACTTCTCAAAATAACAGAAGGCCTCAGGATTCGGGCTGTTGGGGTGTGTAAGGCCTTCAAAGGCCATGTAGTTGGGGCGCTGATTTCCGCAACCATGACAAGGACGCCTGCTACGCACCCCAACTCTACATCTGCGGCTTCACGAGGACGCATACCTGGCCTTTCGGGTAAAGTGTTCAGAAATCCTGTAATCTGCATCCCTCGAAACGAATTTCCACACCCACGGGGTGTAAGTGTAAGCCGTCGGAGAAGTGCGAAGCAAGATACTGCATCAGCTGTCCCAGATCGAGAGCACCAGTGAAATAGGCGGGGGCCAGCAATACGAAAGGCACTACTGTGCCATACTCCTCGTACCTGTCAGGAGTCTTTGCAGGTCTTATTAGTCTCAGGGGCTCGAAAGCTGTCGGCCTCCGATTTCTGGACTTGGCGAATGCACCGCTTCCCCCTACGGCTCTTGCGGGCCTACACATAGTTCAAGGTCTTCATGCTCAAAACACCATAGAAGGTCCCACTGGATGTCCAAAATTACGGGGTTGAAGACCGCGGACGTAACCAGCGCAAACAACTGCAGGAACCTGTGGGCAAAAGCACCCTGTTTACGCTAAAACAAAGGATCTCCAAAGTGCATAAAATGAAGGATTCCCTACGTTCGCTCCCTGATAACAACATTGAAGGCTTAAGGAGTGCTCCTTGATTCAGGTGTCTGCTTAAACAAACGAACTCCAACATGCCTGTAGTTCAGGATTTATTGGGATTGTTCCTTGATTCAGGGCCTTGGCAGTCTTCAGGAAGAGTCTACTGCAGCGCAAACAAACTTGTCGGAAAGACAATCCATCGATACTATAGTTCTGAAGCCTATAGACTGCACGGATGGCTTTGTTTTTTCGGAGATGTGCAGCTCGGGCGCATCATTTTGAAGAAGTTGAGAAACCTCAGCTGCACAAAGACTACATGATGGTTGTACAGAACAACAGACAGGTGAGAACGGATCGGGTATGCGGCCCATCCTGCTACAACTGTACCGCTACTACATTCGAAGACCTACATGCGTTCCTTAAGGATGCAGTTCCATAGGGTATCGGGAACACCACTTTCGCGCCTGCTTGCTGTGCTCATTGCGACGGGCCGCAACTCGAAGCGCTAAACCCGAAACTCGAAACACTTTTTGTTGCATCAGGTCGCCTGACAACTCGAAACCCCCAAACCCAATCCTGAACTCAACCCTCTCGAGGAGCTTCGTGATGTCGAACTCTGCGTAGGCCACGCGCTTCATCACCTCGAAGCGCTCCTGAATGGTCCTCCGTAGCTCCCAGAAGGCTGGCATCCCGAAACAAGCGAGCAAACAACAAACAGGTAACCAACTAAATCAAAAGGAATATGAAGCTCATTGGCTGAGTAGGGCCTGTAGAGTTTTGGGCTGTGCTCCTTGGGGCCCAGGGTGGAGGGCATGTTCGAGGTCGTAAGGTTGGTGAGGTGCAGGGTTGGGCTGTCGCGAGTTCTATACACTTCAGACCTTCATAGGGGTTTACATTTGCTCAGGCACGAAATGGAACCTAAACATGTTTCAGTGTCTCACATGTTGCTCAAGGCAATACAAGTCTAAAGGAGCTTCTTCATCTTCAAACAGCGCGGCTTGCACAATTCATTCAGCATGCCCAACCAAAGCCCTCCCTCTCCCACGCATCTCCTGCCACAAACAGCTAGCTACCTACTACCCGCCGACCGACCGACCGCCTGCATACCTCCTGACCGAACGACCGACCGACCGACCAAGGGACCGACCCAGAGAGAAAAGGGCGAAGGAGCGAGAGACAAAGAGAGAGCGAGAGAGACATAGAGACAGAGAGTGAGACAAAGCGTGGGTGGTGGGATGGATGCATGATTTACATAACACAACATACCAGACTCCCTCAATCCTACTGCACAATTTAACCTAGCGTCGCCGCAAGCTGAGGACCTGCTTGCATCAGCGCCAAGCTCTCCGCCTGTGCCATGAAAGCACCGGACTACAGGCCCAAACGCTCTAATAAAGGGGGTTCCTTTAACGGGTTCCTGAAAAGGGATACTATAAGGGAGGCTGCAGTGTAATGGTTCCATAATATAGGGCGCCTTAATAATTTGAACATGGTTCTGGGCTCCTTTACATGGTTGTTAAGATAGGGAACC